TGAATACATTGTGCGGCTGATATTATGGCACGTGACTACGTCGTGCAGCGTGTGGATAAGGATTCACCCTCCTAGGGTCACTCATATTTTTCTCTTGATAGTGTACACGCGGTATGAGGAAAACTGATCAGTGGTTTGGTTCGGTTATTGTGTTTCTAAGGAAAACTAGCCAGTGTTGATTTGGTTATTGCAGTTTTCTCTACTTGCAATTTCCTTGGATGTATACATGGTTTTTGCTGCATCTCTTCTCTATTTGCTAGCTCCGGAATATATACGTGTCTTTATGGGATGATTTGAACATAAGGGGAGAGTGACATGCGAGAAGAACGGAAGGAAAAAACCACGATGTATGTCTTGCTAAAGGCAAGGAAAAGGAATTCAGGAACCAAGAAGAAGAGGAAACTTGGGAGACGGAGAAGAAAAGGACAAAGTTCAGAGGATGCTTTGAGCATATGACAGGACAATGCTGCAGGTACATAAAAGATGGCATAATAAGAATCTTTATCACCAATATCACTTTGTGTGATCTGCTGTGGATCTCCATTGCCACTCTCTATGACATTTTTTGTGCCACTTACTACATCTCTCAAATGTCTGTACCAGTGGCCATGACAAAAATATTAAGTGATTGCAATGAACTATTTTGTGGGACTAGAATAAGAAAGTTAAGAAGTACTACCTAATTGATTGGGGAAGAATTAATTCTCCAATAGATAGGGGGTTAGGGATTAGAGACTTGAGTGTTCAACTAAGTTTTACTAGGGAAGTGTTTTTGGAAGTTTCAAATGGAGGATCAAACTTTATGGAGAAAAGTTATTGGTGAGAAATATGGAGTCCAAATGGTGGGTTGGAGGACTAAGCAGATCATTTTGCTGTGTAAAGCAGCTCTGTGGAAGAGTATAATGGAAGTATAAGAGAATTTTTACAGGAATATCAGTTTTAAAATTGGCAATGGAGCTAAAATCACTTTTGGAAATAAAGATGATATGGTGATGTCTCTTCATGTAAAGCTATCTGATCCATTTTCAATATGTTTAGCCGGCAAACAGCAGCAATCACACAAATTGGTAAAAAACAGGGCGGAGGAATCTTATCGACCTGAACCTTATAGAATTGGGAAATTGATGAGCTGAATTTCTTGATTGGATTGTTATAGAAGCAAAAAATATCACTCAGAGAGAGAAAGCAGGGAGATGGAAGGGCAGGAGGATGGTATTTCTCTACAAAGTCAATTTATAATATACTCTCTGTTCCAGTTTATGTGAACCTATTTCCTTTTTGGTCCGTTCCAAAAAGAATGACCCCTTTCTAAATTTGATAACTATTTTGCTTAAACTTACAATTCTACCCTTAATGAGAAGCTTTTATAACCACACAAATACCCTGAGCCTCTTTTTGACTTGTTTAGGACTACAAATTCCAACGGTCTTCATTTTTTCTTAAACTTCGTGCCTAGTCAAACAGGTTAATATAAATTAGAACTAGAACGGAGGGAGTATTGCTCTTCTCGCTCCTCAATTTGGATCCCAGAGCATTGAGAAAATTGGACTTTTTCTAAACAGTAGCCAGCGCGGGAAGCCGCGGGAAGCCACTCTGATAAAAGAGGATTTAGGAAGGGGAGGACAGACTATCAGTTGGTAATTCATGTGACAGGAAGCAGAAGAAGGGGTAAACCATTTGTTGCTGAATCGTCCGACTGCATACATATATGGTGTAGAATATGGAATATTTTGTGAGTTGAATGGATGATGTCATGAATCATTAGAGGTGGAAGCTTAGAAAGAAGAGACAGAGAAAAAGAGTATGATGAGAACAGGCTCCTTTGGCACTCATATGGACCATTCGGAGGAACTGAATTGCTTTTGGAGAGTGGAAATAACCTTGTAGAAGTTAGTGGAACCTCATAGTTCTTTTACACATTTGGAGCATATGTTTAAAAAAGTGTCTATACAGTATGTTCTTAGTGGAGAATACGATTTTTTTTATACTGTTTTCTTTAATAAAATCTTTACCTTATCCCAAAAAAAAAAAGAATACTTTTTTCATGTATAACTCTCTATTCTGATTTATATCTTGCATGTGGGATTTCCTCATCGAATCAGTGAATTTTAGCTTCATAAAGAGAAAATATTGCTATGTATACTGTTGTTTAACCTTCTTAAACCCCTTATTCTATCAACTCAACTATTAAACTAATAAAGCATACACAACAGCAGCCATGAAAGACGAGAAAAAAATGATCGTTATATGCCTTTAGTTTGTATCCCTACAAGCACCTTTCTTGTACATTTACAATTTACGATTTAAATGTGACAATGCACTGGTTCCTCAGGTATGGTATCCCTTATCAAAAACACTTGCTGAAAAAGCTTCTTGGGAATTTGCCAAGGAAAAAGATTTGGATATTGTTGTGGTGAATCCAGGAACTGTAATGGGTCCCATGCTCCCACCAACTCTTAATGCCAGCATGCTCATGATGCTTCGTCTTCTTCAAGGTAACATTGAGTAATGATCTCTACTGCTAGGTTTAACATGTCTCTCTGTACCTAGAATGGGGTAGATTGTCCTTCCCATTTTTATCCTCTTCAATTAAAAGAATCAGTTCATTATTATATTGCCACCTACTGGTCTATTTCTTAAAGCTTTTGATGGGTATTTAGTTATGAAACTTTGTTGGTGGTGTCCTCAACATGACATGCCTTGTCATTTTATTTATGCTTAGGCTGCACCGCTACATATGAAGATTTCTTTATGGGATTAGTCCATGTCAAGGATGTGGCATTAGCTCATATTCTTGTTTATGAAAACAATTCAGCAAAAGGAAGGCACATGTGTGTTGAAGCCATAACTCACTATGGTGACTTTGCCGCTAAGGTTGCAGAGCTTTACCCTGAATATAACGTTCCTCGGTAATACTTTTTAATCTAACCTTGTTTGCCTAGTAAACTTGAATTTTGTGTGATCCTAGAGCTGCAGGCATTCGCTATCCCTTTTCCTTATCCACCCTCCACAAAAGAAATTTTCAAAAGTCCTTCATTAATCTATCTAATCTGCTTTAATAACTGAGACTTTTCTGAATATTAATTTGTTCTTCATTCCTGCTTCACATGTTGTTTCTGAAGTAAATGTACAAACTATACATAATTTCACTTGTTAATTGTGGATTTCCCTTCAAATGAGCTTCCATCTTCGATTTTCTTCGAGGTTGAATACCGTCTGCCATGACTTGCTCTTACTGCTTATTAGTAGTTTTTCCTTCGTTTCTTTTTCAAAAAATACAAACTTTGGGCTATAAAATTAAAAAACACTGGAAAAATCCTCTTTGAGTTTGTGGTAAAAAATTAGTTATTTTGCTCGTCTTGATCAGGTTGCCAAAAGATACTCAACCTGGACTATTAAGGGCCAAGGATGGAGGTAAGAAGTTGATGGATTTGGGACTACAATTTATAGACATGGAGCAAATAATTAGGGACTCTGTTGAGAGTTTGAAGATCAAGGGCTTTATTTCTTAAATGTCCATAGCTGTCCCTGTTCTGTACATGTTCATCAACTCGTACTAGCTGTAATTTGACCTATTTCCTACTGCTGGAACGGATGACGTGATTTGTCATTTCAAGTCATGATCTTGAAATAAAACAACAAAGTCACAAGTTGCAACACCTGTTATGTTCTTAGATATAACAACATTCTAATGACAGTGGCTTCGTGGCTACCTTTTAATTAGTTAGAGGGGCAACGAACTACAAATGATAGTTTTTAAGTGTTAAGTTTCCACTATCCAAACAAAAGTAGTTTACGAGGGTTTTGGTGCACTTTAGGGACATACTCCTGATCCATATTATATTTGTCTTTCAAGGTTCTTGTATATCCTTCAATGAAGACTTTAGATAATCATAAGACAAAAAAGTGATTAATGACTTTTTGTTTTTCAAAATGTCAAATATTTTGAATCTAAGCTTTCTAAATAAATAATAAGGGACATTACCAGTTATGTCATCCCTAAGTAAGTTAATACAAAATTAGCCAATTTGTAAAATATTATCAATATTAGCCAATTAGCCTTTTGTAGTCAAAAAGATATTAAATTTTTTCTTTCTTTTGAGTGGTGTTGTTGGGAAAGATTGAATACAACTTAAGGAGTTTAAATTTTAATTTTGAGATGATTTCGGTAGAGTTTTGAAGTTGTTTGAATTGAAAATACGAAGTAGAAGATGAACATGAAAAAAGATAATATGTGTATTACAATATGTATCATATATGTATCATTTTTGTATCAAACGTATATCACATGTATATCCATGTATACCTGTTGTGAGCACCTAATTTTTGATCATATTTAGATTTTTCACAACTTTTTAGTATGTAAATAATTTTAAGTTTAATTTACATGTTTTAGCTTTTGTTTTACCTTTTTATAGATTTTATTTAAGAAAATTGAAAATGATAAAAAGAGTCACATTTTAGTTATAGGTTTTATTTTCATTTACAAAGAAAGAAAAGTTTCCAAAAAATAATTTATATAGCTTAGTGTAATTTGTAAGTTAGAGGTTTTAATAAATGAACATTGATTAATTAGTATTTGATCTTGCTATTTTAATTTAATAGTATTATATCTTATTTTTTTTAAAAAAAAGGATAAAAAAGAAAATGGTATTTCATGTGTTCCTGTTTCCTTGTAATCACGTGCCCTTCCTCTCATTTTATTTTATTCACATATTCTTTATCCTTTGACCCAATATACTTTGGCCACCTCACCTTCTACATTATTTCCTTCCAATAAACTCGCAGATTCCATCCTTCGCACTATTCTTAAGGCACGACAGACACACACACACACACACATATATATATATATATATATATATATATATATATATATATATATATATATATATATATATATATATTATCTTTCAGTTTTATTAGGATTTTCTCCATATTTATCAATTTTCCCATGTACTAATACCCATAATAATTCACATACACCTGCACTAGTTTGGGTAGGGACCACACGTTTCTCCTTATTCCATATGTAGCTCTATGAGCAAACTAGTGCAGAGCTAATTTATACCCATAATAACTCACACCTTTTTTTTCCTTTCTTGCTCTCCAAAGCTCATAGAGCTACATATATGTAGCTCCTTATTCCTTTCGTCTCCGGTGATCCGGTCGGATTTCATTTGAGGTCTTGTTCGCAGTTTTGTCGGTGTCTAAGTTTCAAAGTCATCGATGAATCAAAGTCCAAATTCACTTTTAAGGTCCATTTCCTCCCCTGTTATTAATATATGACTTTGGTTTGATGAATGTTTGAACAGTAATGTGAGTTCCTCTTGCTTGTGATATTGAGTTTAATCATTTATTTCTCTTACCGGTTTAATTCTGTTTGTAATAGTAAGTTTCTTTTTCCGATTAGAAATCACGTTTCCATTACGTATGAGGTAAAATTGGTTTATAATAAATGATCGAATAATAGCATGACATGTGGAATCAAAGACAGGTAAAAGGTGAGTAATGTAACAATAAATACCGGGAACAACAACTGCAATCGACATTGGGTAAATCCGAAGGGAGCATGTTCAACGAGAACAAATCGAGTATTTGACATCGTATAGCATTCAATGAGAGAATATTCTCTAACATTAATGAGCAACCATTACAGAGAATTTTGTATTCATGACCTGTCGTTACATATTTATTAATGACTTCTTTAATATCATTTAAGTGGGGCTTGATCATAGGATCTTGTTTCCCTAGGTATAACTATAAATAGCAGACTCAACAGCCATTGTAACACACGAAATTCTGGGAGAAACACATGCTATATTTTACTTTCGCTCTCAATTAAACAACTTTATTTTCTCTTTGTCATTGCTTTTATTTTTTTCATGGAGATATTGCGCTCGGAGCTAGGCTTGTCATCTTCTTTAATTTCTATTGCTAAGTCTTATTTTTATCTTATTTCTTTATCGTTTTTGGATCAAATCAGTTCTCTTGTCTATAAACTACGTAACAAATTTAATTGTACCGTTTTGCGGGTAAATAGTTTGGCGCTTACTGTGGGGCTTAGACAATTGTGTAATTGCTTTGATCCTTACGTTTGTTACTAACATGTTTGATTTTTCCCTAGCAAGAAATTAGAAATGGCAGCTAATGATGTCAAAATCACACACAACGTTGAGGGTCACAGAGATTTGCCTCAACATGAAGATTCAATCAGTGACACCTGTAACGAAGGGGATGAAACAACCCCGATTCGTCAAGGGAAATACCTCCGACATGTGCGAGAGCTCAACTCCCGATGACGCAATAGAAGAACATGTCGTGGAAACAGATAAAATCTTAAGAGAACAGCAGAAGGCAATAATGAGTCATCTCTCAAGGCAGGACCAGGTAATGACGAAGTTAAAACAAACGTTATCAGGTACTTCCAATATTACAAACGGAAGGGGCTCGGTTCCTCCTAGTGCTCCTGCAAATCAAACGACTCAAAGAGTCGATAATAACACCCCAAGGAGGGAGGGAGGTTTCGATGGTGCCGGAGGGACCAGTAGTGGATCTGGGAATGACAACGAAAATGACCCCTTCAAAACCGAGCTCATGAGGTCCATAAGGGAAATGAACAAACGGATGGATGAAAATGCGAAGGAGTTTTATGCCCAAATGGATAATATTTCGGGCGCACCACCAGTTCTGAAAGGCCCAGATTCGAAAAATACATGCAATTGCCATTTATGCCGAGTGCAATGCCAGAGTTAATTCTGAATAGCTTCAAGATGCTGGACATACCAAAATACGATGGGACTTCGGATTCACAGGAGCACATCACAACCTACACCATGGCTATGAAAGGGAACAATTTGGCTCAATATGAGATCGAATCGGTCTTATTGAAGAAGTTTGATGAAACCCTTGCAAAGGGGGCTTTGACATGGTAATCATTCTTACTCGAACATTCAATTGACTCTTTTGAAATGCTTGCAGATTCATTTATTAAGGACCATGTCGGGGCAAAAAAGGTCCAAGCCAGAAAGGCAAACATATTCAGGATTGTGCAAGGTGAGTCCAAAATTTGCGAGAATTCATGATCCAATTCTAGAAAGAGAGGATGCTACTACCAACTGTACCAAATGAGTGGGCAGTGGAGGCGTTCATAAAGGGTTTGAATCCGCGAAGCTCTGACGCCTCCCAAAATTTGAAGGAAAGACTGCTCGAATTCCCAACAACCACATGGGCGGATGTCTATAACTGTTATGAGTCAAAAATAAGAATAAAAGACGATCAAATCGGGTTCTCGATGTTAACCAAGGGACGAGACCGAGACAAAAACCAAGACAAGTTTAAAAGTGACTTCGATGCGGATCGACGGTCTTCTAAATGTCATTTATTGCCGCATGAAAGAACCGATGGACGCAACAACAAAGGGTTTTGGTCCTAGGACAGGTTCATTCCCGATATAAGAATCAGCCATGGCCGGACCAACAGGTAATTACAAGGAAAAGAGGTATTGGGGACCCGGGATTCCACATATCCCAGGTTACCACATTATAACTTCAACATCAGCACAATGGAGTTGGTGTCGATGATGAGGAATATCAAAGAAGCGCGATTCCCGAAGCCAATCAGATCCGATCCTAGCTAAAGGGATCCCAACTTGGGGTGTGAATATCATGGGACTCACACCCAAACAATGGGGACTACCGGCATTTACGAGAAGAGGTGGTGACATTGTTTAAGAATGGCCATCTCAGGGAATTTTAAGCGATCAATCCAAAAATAACTACGGCTGAGCCGGGACAATTTGGAGCCTTCAAAAGTGGTAGAAGACTCTCCTCAGCTAACTATCAAAATGATTTTTGGAGGGAAAGAAATCAATGGTGTAACCTTCTTGGCGGCCAAGAAAACGAAGATATCGACGACTCACAAAAGATGATATCACCTTCATGGAGGAAGACGCTGATGGACTCTTTACACATAATGACGCTCTGGTAATCTCTCTTAATGTTTTAGATTTCAAAATTAAGCGTGTTTTGGTTGACCTAGGAAGTCAGCCAACATCATCCAATGAAGAGTGTTGGAGCAAGCAAAGTTGACCGGAAGCATCATACCGGCGACAAAACTCTTAGTTGTGTTCAACTTGACAAGTGTGACAGCCTGAGGTGAGATCCTGCTGTCCATGAACGCTGAGGGGGTAAAACTACCTTATTCGAAGTGGTAGATATGACGTGGGCTACAACGTAACCCTCGAGAGGCCGTGGATACACAAGATGAAGGCTGTGCCCTCAATATATCATCAACTACTGAAATTCCCAATCCCGGAAGGAATCAAAAAGATAAGAGGAGACCAAACAGATAAGGCGTGCCCTAAAGACTCGTTCACCAAACATTGATCAATTGATTGATGCTACGGCCGGGCACGAGTTGATGAGTTTTCTTGATGCTTACTCCGGGTACAATCAAATCAAAATGAACTCGGGGGATCAGGAAAAAACTTCTTTCATAATGAATTTTGGCACATACTATTATAATGTGATACTATTTGGGCTTAAGAACGCCGGAGCCACTTATCAAAGGCTCGTTAACAAAATGTTTCAAGAAACAAATAGGCAAAACAATGGAAGTATATATCTATGACATTTTAGTGAAGTCTTTAGATGCACGAGATCACTTGAAACACCTCCAAGATACCATTAACATTCTAAGAAAATACAACATGAAGCTTAACCCAGAAAAATGTGCGTTCGTGGTTGGTTCCGGTAAGTTCTTGGGGTCGCAAAGAGGGATCGAGGTGATTCCTGATAAAATCAAAACAATCGAAGACATTCAGATCAGCTAAAGAGCGTAAAAAGGTACAATGGTTAACCGGAAGGTTGGCCGCTTTAAGCAAGTTCATCTCAAGATCCTCGGAAAAATATCATCACTTCTTCTCACTTCTGAAAAAGAAGAATAATTTCAAGTGGACTCCCGAATGCTAGCAGGAACTGAAGGATTTTAAAAAGGTACATGTCCAGCCCCCCGTTAATATCAAAATTGGGGCAAGGCGAACAACTACTTATATATCTAGCGGTATCGGAAGTAGTTAAGTGTTGTTTTGGTTCGAGAAGAAGAATGATTTGAACTGGCCCGAGGACTTGGCTCCAAGGTCATCGACATCAAATGTGATTCCCAGTTGGTAATAAACCAAGTGTACGGGATTTTTGACACAAAAGAAGAACACATGCAACAATATGTGTATACGGTTCAAGCATTGCTAGCACGATTCAGGGAATGGTCGATCATACACATTCCGAGAGAAGAAAATGTGGAAGCAGACGCATTGGCTAATTTGGGGTCATCAACGCAGATGAAAAGATCTAACTCCAGTATAATAGTCTAACTTCTGCACTTGGTATTGCACGTGGACAATTACTGTGAGTTCAACTCAACTAACTTAGTCCGGGACTGGAGGAATAAGTTCGTCGAATATATTTGCCATGGAAAATTACTTGAAGACCTGAAGGCATCCCGGGTACTACGAACCAAAGCTGCCCGCTACTGCCTCGTGTATGGGCAATTATATAGAAGATGATACCAAGGACCATTGGCTCGATGCTTGGGAGCCTCAAAGGAGGACTACATGATGAGAGAAGTCCATGAAGGTATTTGCGGGAACCATTCCAATGCAGATTCATTAGGTGTAAAGCTGGTTAAGATAGGTTACTATTGGCCCCGAATGGAGCAGGAAGCAAAGGCATTCGTATAGAAATGCAACAGATGTCAACGCCATGCACAACTGGTGCATCAACCAGCAGAACTCTTGCACTCGATGTTGTTCCCGTGGCCATTCATGAAATGGGGAATGGAAATAGTTGGTTCTCTACCACCGGGACTACTTCTCTAAATGGGTTGAAGCAGGTCCTTACCAAAAGATCGGTGAACGCGAAGTGATGGACTTCATATGGGACCATATAATCAGCTGATTCAGAATACCAAAGGAAATTGCTTGTGACAACGGGCTTTGTAGGCTCAAAAGTCATAAAAGTTTTGGAAGGTTTGAAAATCAAGAGAATTACATCTTCTCTATACCATCCAAGTGCTAATGTACATGAAGAATCAACAAATAAGGTGATTATCCAGAACCTTAAAAAGAAGCTAGAAGCTGCTAAAGGCAAATGGCCTGAAGAGCTACTGGGTGTACTATGGGCATACCGGACAACAATGAAGTCAAGCACGGGAGAAACACCTTTCTCTCTCGTATATGGTGCGGAAGCTCTGGATCCTA